CGCTCAGGAGCTGTTCTCGTGCCGCCGAAGCCTCCGCAGGAGAGAGCGGCGGAGACTGGGCGGCCTCTCGGGGCCCGGCAACCCCTCCCAGGGGTGGGGACAGGCAAACCCGTGCGCTCTGTTAGGAGCCACCTCGGCAAGCGCCCGGCCGCGGCTCGGGAGGCGACCCCGCGGCGGCGCTCCAGCTCCAAGTCCAATCCACGCCCAGCTGCGGAGGTCGAGGGCGCGGCGGTGAGGGTCCCACTCCCTCCTGCACGGTCGCCGGCCGGGGCGAGCGGGGAGCCAGGGCCGGGCGTGCGCGCGTCTCCGGGCCGCGGGCAGCCGGCGACAGACACTTGTTTGCAAAGGCTCAGCTCGGCGCGCGCGCGGCTCCAGCGCTGCCGCTCCGCCCGCCGGCTCCTCCTCTTTCTCCTCCTCTCGTTGGCGACCCCCCGGAGCCTGGCGCCCGGGTAGGGGCGCACCGCGGTCCCCACCCGCTCCTGTCGCGCGACCCGAGTAGGACATGGCCCGGGGAGAGGTCGGGGTAGGAGGCCGCGCGCGAGGCCACGGCCACCTCCCCTCCCCCACCGCTATTCGCGCTGGGCCAACAGCTGTCGCTTCCCAGGCTTTCCAGCGGTTTTACCACGGACAGCTGCTGCCGCCCCGGGACGCGCCCTGCACACCGGTCCGCTGAGTTCTGGGATCAAAGGAACGCACGGACAGAGTGGGGACCATCCCTGTCCGCCGTTCGGCGGGGCGCGGGATCGAGTTGGGGCTCTGTGGACGCGGGGAATGGGCGAGGGCTGCCTGTTCTCGGGACGGCTAATGGCACGAGGGGGCCTGGGACCGGGGCTGAGTTGGGGGCTCTGCGGACCCGGAGAGCTGGCGGGGGCTGCCCGGAATCAGGACAGAGGACGGGGGCTGGAGCGGTGTGCAGGCCCAGGGAGCAACGAGGAGACGGGAGAGCAAGAGGTCTGGGTCACTCCAGCCGCCGCCCTGCCTTCCTCCGGGTCACCAGCCCGAGGCGGCCGCCAGTTTAGGGGCCCCTCCTGGCTTTTCTTTCTACACTTCTCCGGCACGGGCGCGCACAATCGGCTCGTTTTATTGCGCAGTCCTTTTCCCGAAGAGTCCTTACGGCAGCTAGATAAAACATTCTCTGCTTTTATCCCGCCCATGCCTCCCGCTCCTTCCCCACAGGACTGCCGAGCTGCGGCGCTAGCGCACGCAGGCACTCCTTCCCCGGGGTGCCGGGGTCCGAGGCCCCCAGAGCTACCAGCTAGCTGGTAGGCAACGGTACGCGAGGGAGCAGGGGCGGGGACGTTCGGTTTCCACAGCCCGCTTTCCTTTCGTGGCTTACTGGGATATGTAGTTCTCTGGTAGCCGTCTGTCTCAGAGAAAACGCTACCTGTGGATTCCAGAACTACAAATCCCTGCATCCTCCGCGACGAGGGCGGGAGAGGAACGGAGCTGGGCGCGCTGTGCTCTCAGTGCACTGTGGTTGGAGATGGGAACTAACAAAGGGGTTGGTGGAAAGGGGCTGTACCGTCTCTGTGCTGGGCACATTTAATCTCTACAACCTGAGCGCCACAATCGTATGCTGTTTAGAGAAAGATTAACAATTTGCCAGAGATCACACAGCTTCCTCTTGGCGGATCCTTGGTTGATCCAGACAATGAAAGAACAAGAAATGGGCCCTGTTCAATTATGACATGAAATTATAAGAAATTGTAAATGTACAGGTCCCTGGATAGTATAAACGGTTTGTCCTCGACCACCAACCCCAGGTTTGCGCTGGACTTCTAACCCAAGGGTTGGGATTAAACCCCTCTAGCAGGTACCTTCAAGGAAAGGCCTGCATATCTGCTTCCAGAAAGTTGTTTTCTGTTACCTTCAATAAATTCTGACTCATAGCGACCTCATGTGCTTCAGAATAGAACTGCACCCCACAGGGTTTTCTTGGCTGTAAGTATTCCTGAAACAGATCACCTGGCAGTTCTTCCCCAGAGCCGCTGTGTGGATTCAAACTGTCAAATGTTTTGGTTATGGCACTGTAAAATAAGCACTGGATTGTTAACTGAAAGATTAGCAGTTCAAATCCACCAGCTGCTCACCGGGAGAAAGGTGAGGCTTTCTATTCCCATAAATCTTTATTGGACCACCAGAGTCTAAACCAACTCCCTAGCAGTGGGCTTGATTTTGGCTTTGGTTTCATAGCAAACAATCTACCACCCAAAGCCATTTAGTAGACATTGTTGCTGTTAGGTCCTTGGAGTTCATTTCAACTCATAGTGACCCCCGTGTAACAAAGTAGAACAGCCCCATAGAGTTTTCTAGGTGTGGCACTGTAGGATAAGTACTGGACTACTAATCACAAAGTTAGCAGTTCAAACCCACCAGCCACTCTTTGGAAACCCTATACATCAGAACTGACTCGACAGCACTTAACACTAACAACAATCTTAAGGAAAGCAGATCTCCCTCCAGGTCTTGCACCAGAGTCGCTAGGTGGGTACCATGTGCCAACCTTTCAGGTAGCAACCCAGCACTTAACCATGGGCTATCAGGGTTCCTTGTTAAGAAAACATGAAGGTAAAAGTAGAAGTTTTATAACAAAAATGGGGGCGTAGTTAATCTTACAGTCCAGAAACACAGGACCCTAGGACTATCAAGGGAGAAGAGCACAAGTGGAATGCGGAACCTTATCCAGAGAAGCAGCGACACCAGAGATGGAGGCAGAGATGGGGACATGGAGAGAGGGAGCATCTGAGGACTCTAGATTCATGGGAAGAGAGGGACTAAGAGCTGGTGGCCAGGGGGCAGACTTTCAGAATGTGCCCTTTGGTGGTATAAATTATTATATATGCCTGAGTGTTTAAAAAAAAAAAAAAAGAGCTAAAATGAATAGAGAGAAATACTGTTAATTGATGGTACATGGAGGGGATTATAATCATTTTAATGAAACAAAGTATATGATTTGTTGAATGTAAAACTGACGATCTGCCCTGTGAACTTTCACTCAATTCACAATAAAAGCTTAAAAAAAAAAAAAAATTACGGAGCAGTTCTATTCTGTAATGTGTAGTGTTCCTGTGAGTTAGAATCAATGCAACAGCTATAGTTTTGGGGTTTGGGATGAAAACACTTAGAATTCACAAGAATACATTCCAAAGCAGGTGAGAGTCATACTGGAAGAGTAAGTAGGAGCTTAAATATGTACTCAGAACTGGGTTTGACTGATTTTAGATATTGCAGAGCCGAAGAGGGGAGTGCGTTGGTTCTGTATGGTAAATACTGGGCCACAAGTTCAGCATTTCAAGCCCACCAGCTGCTCTAAGAGAGAAAGATGAGGCTTTCCGCTCCCACAAAGATTTATAACCTTGGAAACTCTATACACTGTTGCCATGAGTAGGAACCAATGTGACAGCACTTAACAACAACAATAATGCAGAAGAGCAGATTATAGGGATAATTAAGTACTTGGTCCACCACCTATCTCTCAGTTTGTCTCACTGGTGTGGTTTCTATAGCAGTATTTTCAATAACAGCATGGTCACCGTGGGGGACATTTCTCAGTGTAGTTTCTAGACTAAAACAGACTGGGAAGAAAGGCCTGATGAGCTCTTCCAAAAATTAGCCAAGCAAGGTATGTGAGGGTTGGACATGTAAAGGTGGACGTTGTGTAGCAAAAGGAGGGGAGTGATTGACTTTGCAGTCCAGGAGCGGAGGTCCCTGGGACCATCAAGGGAGACGAGCAGAGAACTGGACCCAACCCAGAGAAACAGTGATGCCAGAGATGGAGGCAGAGACAATGACCTGGAGAGATGGAGCGACTGGGAACTCTAGACCAGAGAGGGAGAGGGGCTGTGTGCTGATGACGGGGGTGGGGTGGGGGTGGGGGGGGCAGGTTTGCAGGATATACACTCTGGTTGGTTGGTTGATGATGCATGGAGGGGATTGGAACCATGGCAATGAAACAATATATGATAGGATGAATGTAAAACCAATGTTCTCCCATATAAACTATCACATAATTCACAACAATACATTTTTTTTAAAATTAGCCAGGGAAGACTTCATGGACCCTAACCGAACTACCTCTCATGCTGTGGGTACGCCATACTGAGGGATCAATCACTACATGAGGACATTGTGTTTGGTGAAGTAGAAGGCCAGAGAGGGTGAGGGAAACCGCTGATGAGATGGATCAGCATGATAGTCACAGGGTGGTCTCCACCGTGCTAGCTAGCTATCATGAGAATGATGCACGAGCCAGCCGTGTTTTGCTCTGTTAGACATAAGGTCGCCATTGTTGTTGTTGTCAGGTGCCATCGAGTCGGAACCGACTCATAGCGACCCCATGCACAGCAGAACGAAACAATGCTCGATCCTGGGCCAACCTCACCACCGCTGCCACCCCCGAGTCCATCAATGATGCCACCTGGCCGATCCATCTCGTTGGAGGTCTTCCTCTTTTTCTCTGACCCTCCACCCTACCCAGCATGACATCCTTCTCCAAAGATTGTTTCCTCCGGACTACATGTCCAAAGTA